CTGGTGACCGAGTCAGCGTGCACTGTGCCCGGCCCGCCACAGGAGTCGCTAGTGCGCGATGGGACAAGAACATCCCTGCCGGCCAAACCCTCCCCTACCCTGGACGACGCTGGGCCAATTGTGCGCCGCCGAATGGGTCTCCCGGTCGCGGCCGGCTGCGACAGAGCCTGGACTCGAACCAGGACCACAGCGCCACTCGGGAGGCCCCCAGGTAAACTGGGATATGACTAAAGAATTAATCAGGGTGATTTTTCCACAATAGACAGGTGTTGTCCTTTCCATGGTAGCAAAACCTTATCTAATTTGGCTAACTTTCTATTAAAATGTATTGTAGTGAGATTATTTATTTATTTGAATACCGAGTACACTTCACCGTCGAACCATTTTATTGGTAAACTACACGGTAATGTAAAAGTTGTAATTTTAGCCCATTGATGTTATTGTTGGATCTGGTTTTAATAGATAACATTTCGATGGCCATAATAAATAGATATGCCGATAGTGGACAACCTTGTTTTACTCCTCTTGACAATTTTATACATTCTGAGAAGTAGCCATTATTTACTATTTTACACCTGAGGTTACTATACATAACTTGAACCCATTGTACTATTCATAACTTTAACCCATTGTATAAGAGATTCTCCAAAATTGAACTAGTCCAGGCATTTATATATAAATTCCAGTTGTACTTTATCAAAGGCCTTTTCAAAGTCAGCTATGAATTCAAGGCCTGGATTCCCAGATTGTTCATAGTGTTCTATTGTTTCCAGTACTTGTCTTATATTATCTCCAATGTGTCGTCCATGTAAAAAACATGTCTGATTAGGATGAATAATATCCAACAATATCTTTTTAATTCTATGGGCTATGCATTTTGCTAGGATTTTGGCATCACAACACTGAAGTGTAAGGGGTCTCCAGTTTTTTAGGTGGACTGGATCTTTATATTTATCACCTGGGTCCTGTTTCAGTAATAGTGAAATCAGACCTTCTTGCTGAGTATCTGATAGTCTACCATTTTTATAGGAGTGGTTAAAACATGTTAATAACGGACCTTTGAGTACATCGACAAATATTTGATATACCTTAACTGGTATGCCATCCAGCCCTGGAGTTTTCCTGGACTTGAAGGCTTTAATTGCATCTAGAAGTTCCTCCTCTGTAATTAGGCCTTCACATGAGTCTTTCTGTGTGGCTGTTCATTTTACACGATAATATAAAAAAATCCTTACAATTAACTTCAGTTAGTGGAAATGGAGGAGACTGAAATGAAAACATATGCTTAAAGTACTTTGCTTCCTCTTTCAGAATATTGTAGCATTTCTATGTTGTATATTAAAAACTAATTTGGTGCATTTTTTACTATATTCCATCTAGTTCGCTTTATTTTTATAATATATTACACTTTATCGTTCTTGAATGAGTTCATACATTTTGAGTTTTTCCTCTAACTTATTCTGTGCCTCTATGTTACAGTTTTTATTGGTATCTATCTCTACTGTTAGTTCCTTTCCTCTTTTAAGATGAACTCTTTTGACCTAAATTGTTTTTGTTTTAATAAAGATGAGTATTGAATTGCACGGCCTCTAAAGGCACATTTAAAAGTGTCCCATACAATAAGGGGATCTGCTGTACCTATGTTATGTAGGAAAAAATCAGTTATCAATTATTCTGTCTTGGTTAATAACAATTTGTCATCCAGTAGGCTTTGATTAAATGTCCAATATCCTCACGGAATTTCTGTAAGAGTAATGTTTATACCAATTATTTTATGGTCCAACCACATTCTGTCCTCTATCAACACTTTTTTTAAACTTTTGGTGCCAGCAAGAATGACACAAGAAAGTAGTCAAGACGACTAGCTTGATTGAGCCTCTGCCATGTATATCTCACTAGGTCAGGATATTTAAGCCTCCAAATATCCACTAGTTCCAATACAGTCGTATGAAAAAGTTTGGGCACCCCTGACAATTTCCATTTATAAATAATTGGGTGTTTGGATCAGCCATTTCATTTTGATCTATCAAATAACTGATGGACAGTAATATTTCAGTAGTGAAATTAGGTTTATTGGATTAACAGAAAATGTGCAATATGCATCAAAACGAAATTAGACGGGTGCATACATTTGGGCACCCCAACAGAAAAATCACATCAATATTTAGTAGAGCCTCCTTTTGCTAAAATAACAGCCTCTAGATGCTTCCTATAGCCTCTAATGAGTGTCTGGATGAAGGTATTTTGGACCATTCCTCCTTACAAAACATCTCCACTTCAGTTAGGTTTGATGGTTGCCGAGCATGGACAGGCGTTTTTTCAAATCATCCCACAGATTCTCAATGATATTCAGGTCTGGGGACTGGGATGGCCATTCCAGAACATTGTACTTGTTCCTCTGCATAAATGCCCAGGTAGATTTTGAGCAGTGTTTTGGGTTGTTGTCTTGTTGAAATATCCAGCCCCGGCGTAACTTCAACTTTGTGACTGATTCTTCAACATTATTCCCAAGAATCTGCTGATATTGAGTGGAATCCATGCGACCCTCAACTTTAACAAGATTCCCAGTACCGGCACTGGCCACACAGCCCCACAGCATGATGGAACCCCCACCAAATGTTACTGTGGGTAGCAAGTGTTTTTCTTGGAACGCTGTGTTCTTTTGCCGCCATGCATAACGCCCCTTGTTATGACCAAATAACTCAATCTTTGTTTCATCAGTCCACAGCACCTTATTCCAAAATGAAGCTGGCTTGTCCAAATGTGCGTTTGCATACCTCAAGCGACTCTGTTTGTGGCGTGTGTGCAGAAAAGGCTTCTTCCGCATCACTCTCCCATACAGCTTCTTCTTGTGCAAAGTGCGCTGAATTGTTGAACGATGCACAGTGACACCATCTGCAGCAAGATGATGTTGTAGGTCTTTGGAGGTGGTCTGTGGGCTGTTTTTGACCGTTCTCACCATCCTTCACCTTTGCCTCTCCGATATTTTACTTGGCCTGCCACTTCTGGCCTTAACAAGAACTGTGCCGGTGGTCTTCCATTTCCTCACTATGTTCCTCACAGTGGACACTGACAGCTTACATCTCTGCGATAGCTTTTTGTAGCCTTCCCCTAAACCATAATGTTGAACAATCTTTGTTTTCAGGTCATTTGAGAGTTGTTTTGAGGCCCCCATGTTGCCACTCTTCAGAGGAGAGTCAAAGAGAACAACAACTTGCAATTGGCCACCTTAAATACCTTTTCTCATGATCGGATGCACTTGTCTATGAAGTTCAAGGCTTAATGAGCTCACCAAACCAATTGTGTGTTCCAATTAATCAGTGCTAAGTAGTTACAGGTATTCAGATCAACAGAATGACAAGGGTGCCCACATTTTTGCATAGCCTATTTTTCACATCTGATTTAATTTCATACAAATTAATATTGCTATACTAAAAATCTTTGTCTGGACAATACCCCAGTACTCAGCTTTTATTAGAAAATGAATGGCATGCCACTGTGATCATTTTCTGTGACGACAGAGTAAATTATTATGCAGCCTCAGAGGGGTGCCCAAACTTTTTCATACGACTGTATATCCATAATATTCGTAATTTCCTTAAGTGCATGAGGGTGATAGTTTGTAGTGTGATTTCCTTTACCGTCCATTGAGGTACTTACAACCGTATTATAATCTCCCACCATAATGTAGGATCTTAAATTGAGCCAGTTTGCTACAGCAGGAAAATAATCCTGCAGCAACAGGAAATGTGAATTATTATGTGGATTATAATTAATGGACATTTTGTAGGGGTTGATACATTTTTCATAAGAGCAAATCAAGTCTGAAATGTAAAAGTGGAAATTAAAAACTTTAGAAGCCTTTTTAAACCTCAAATACACTACAAGTTTGCATTGCCTTTTGTTCAGGAAAATTCTCAGCAACAAAAAAGTGATCAAATTTCAATCCTACACCTGTATGTTCACAAACAATATTCCCCTTCACTTTCCTCCTTATACAGTGAGGGAAAAAAGTATTTGATCCCCTGCTGATTTTGTAAGTTTGCCCACTGACAAAGAAATGATCAGTCTATAATTTTAATGGTAGGTTTATTTGAACAGTGAGAGACAGAATAACAACAAAAAAATCCAGAAAAACGTTTATAACATTTTTGACATGTGTTTTTCTGGATTTTTTTGTTGTTATTCTGTCTCTCACTGTTCAAATAAACCTACCATTAAAATTATAGACTGATCATGTCTTTGTCAGTGGGCAAACGTACAAAATCAGCAGGGGATCAAATACTTTTTTCCCTCACTGTAAGAGTTGTCTCTCTCCGGGTGTCATTGAGGAACTGGCCAACATCTGTGTCACACAGACACTGACCTCTGTGTCACACAGACGCGGCGGCATGGCTAGATTAAATGGAGCATTTGGCTCTCCCAGCGGACTCTGCAGCAGTTAAATCCTCTCCGTAACACTGTAATACTCTGGCCCACTGCAGTATCCGTTAATGCCAGACACCATCGCCATCTCTGTCTCATCTCTCCAGCGGGGAGGACGTCTCTTAAAGAGATGTTTAAGGATTTTGGTTTTAAGATTAAGAAAGAGAACTCCTTATATCAGTATGAAAATGTATGCACTCACTAACTGTAAGTCGCTCTGGATATGAGTGTCTGCTAAAAGACTAAAATGTAAATGTAATAGCGAGATGGTTAGGATTGGTTTTATAGGATTAGAAGACATGGTTGGTTTAGACTGAGATTATAGTCTTATACCCTTAGAATACTATGATTGATTGATTTGCAATATTTGATAGGAAGCCATGTAGTTCTGTTTGATATGCAGATACCATACCAATGTGAGCGAGTAGAATATTAATATCTTAAAAATATATTGGGCATGCATGCCACACACACACACACACACACACAGTCCAAGTTCTTGACATCCGAAAGGCATTGATATTCCTAATATGGAGAAAGCATCATTACTGGAAGGGAGAGAAAAACATGTAATATTATGGCCCACAGATAACTAGATAATTGATAAAGTTATTATTTAAGTGTCTTACCCGTATCCTTCTCATTGCAGCCACTATCTCCATTCGGCTATTCGGACGACCCACTTCCAGACTGCCAATGTACTATAATATTTACACAGTTATGAGATTTGTCATTAGTGACTGGAGTAGTCTTGAACTCTTACTCTGATCTCATCTGCTTCTTGTCCAACGGAGTTCACTATACATCCTGAATGAATTGTAAAGGGTAGGCTACTGTAGGTCTATATGGATTTGATAAATTGGTATAGGATAATACATTCATGAATACATTTCAACAAGCACACTGTAACATATAATACAGTGCAATCAGAATTCAATCAACACGCACTGTTGAGTGTAATATTAGGGCACAATTCAAATGAAATAAAAATGTAAATCTAGCTATCATCATTATATTGTCCTAACATTTTGGGAAAATATCATTTTGGAAGAATATCATTTTGGATATCAATTCATTATAAACTCAGCTCAGTCATATCATCCTTACACTATAGACCCTTATTGATGAGCAGCTACTGTAGTTCATAGCCTATGTAATATTACCTTTGCCTCGAAGCAGACCCCATGGTGAAATGCTGCCTCGTTGTGCATGGGGATCCTCAAGTCCTGTGCATCATCCACTAAATTATACTTGGTTATCCCTGGCATCGCCCTTCTGATAAACGACTTGTCCAACACTAGTTTTATGCCAACGCTTTTAGAAGACTGTAAATACGCGCATCTCGCTCAACACTCATGAAGGCCTTTGATTGGTTAGTCGCATAGAACCCAGCGGTCATTCGGGTTGAACCACTGTGCGCGACAGATTGATTGGCTAATGAATTCTATTAACGCCATATGCGTCTAGCAGTTCAATTTGATACAGTCCGAGCTAGAATATCTGCCAGTCTAGTGTCGTTTCAGATGACGCACAATTCTTAAGGCAAGGTTGTCACTTATTTTTCTGTCTTATCCATAAATAAAAACTGATGTTTAAGCGCGTGCCAAATGACGAATGACAGCATCCAAATCCGCTTGAAGACCAGCTGTGTGATTTTTTAAATCGGGGGATTCTACTGTTTTCATTGGAACAGAGCATAGCAGCATCATCATCATCATAGACTTGCAGAAGTAGCATATAACTCTCTCAAATTCAGGTAAAACCTGTAATAAGGGTTGCATGACATCTAGTGGCATAATCTGGAAACAGTGCAGCTACTGTTTTCAAATGTCCCTACTGTATTCTCTATTGGTCTCCAGATGAACTAAGTAAGCCTATGCAGATGGTCGCCTACTATTTGGGAACAACTAATCACAGAATCCATTTGATGCATGAGAGTTTCGTCACAAGGACCAGGCCATTGTCCCCAGGATGGATTTGCTACACAATGCCAACGGTGCAAAGACCATACCATGTGTAGTGTACCTGGAGGACAGATGTGTGGTTGGTGTAGTGCTGTCCGTCGTGCTGGTCAAAGATGGTGGATAAATGACGATTGAAATACATTTCACAGTTCCGGCTCTCCCATAGGCACCAATGCATTAGCAGCTAGGTTTGGTCTGCTTAGTTCATTGAAAGTATATTAAAGTATATTAAAAAACGTCTCGCTTCCACTTCCGTCTCTGGCGCTGGTTAAATAGGTGCTGTAAAAAAAGGCCCTGCGCCTTTAAGGGAATGGCTGACAAGCCTTATGTTGGCCAATCACCTCCCTGATTGTGAGTTTCCAAAAAAGAGAGGGAAAAAAGGTTTACGGTAAAGATGGCCTAGTCAAGTTGTTGAGTCATGTGTGAGTCAATTTAACCGTGAGTAGAGTTGGTATAATGTTATAATTATTATCATTTATCCAACAATGTGTTTGTCACCATCTTGTCTATTTCAAATCTTCTCATTGATCAAGACAGGTGTGTCATTCAACGCAAATGCGGCACTTTGGGGTGGACACCCACCTGTCTTAATCAATGAAAGAAGATTTGAAATAGACAAGATGGCGGCGTACACTGTTGGATAACTTCATGGAGCAAAACAATTATTTTAATTTAATAATGGAGCATTTTCTAAATTCTAACAAATCACCCGCAACTAGCCATGGCAGTTTAGAAGATATATAAAATGTCTTTCAAGTCAGAAATGGAGGAAGTATTGCAGAGTAAAGGTTGGTCAGAAATTCTCCTGCGATACTTTACACTACCTAAGTAACAATGGCTGACAGCTAGTAATCGTCTGACTAGCCAATGATTTACCAGCTACGCGCTTCCCTGATTTAGGCAGCCAAGAGTTTTTTTTTTTTTTTTTTTTTTTGTCATTTAGCAGACGCTCTTATCCAGAGCGACTTACATGAGCAATTAGGGTTAAGTGCCTTGCTCAAGGGCACATCGACAGATTTTCCACCTAGTCGGCTCGGGGATTAGAACCAGCGACCTTTCGGTTACTGGCACAACGCTCTTAACCACTAAGCTACCTGCCGCCCAGAGTTCCGACCTGTAGGGAAAGCTGTACTTACTGCGACCCCCAGGTAAGAACTATTCTGGCTACTATAGGCCCCTATAGCTTATGTTTAGGTCTATGGTTCTGACTGGTTAACTTTTACACATGGTCAGGGCAGATCAACTGGAGCGGAATAGAAAATTGGGCTCTGGTGTTGACAATGAAAACAACCTACCAGCCTGAATGCTTTTGTTTGTAAATGTTTTGTCAATTGTGATACCCCTTCCCTCTTGGCTAAATGTGTTTGTGGTACCTTGAGTTGTGGATGTCAGTTTTGCAGTGTTTTACCGTTTTGGCTTTGGTGTTTCTGATACTATTTAGTCTGCTTTGTGTATTCAACCGGGGTTATTTACAGATCTCATTTTTGATATTTTTGTAGTTTTGGCAACTGTGTGTGTTTTCTATACCTGTTCACTCCTCTCCCTGTAGGCTTTACAGACAATCCCCACCCCTTGGCTGCAACCCTTCTAATTTAGTGTACCCTGCGCTCACAACCCATATGGAATTCCGGTTCCCTGGCAGCATTTGGAACTGCCGGTCTGTGGTCAAGAAAGGCGAGTTCATTTCAGCCTATGCTGCCCTTTCTATTTCCTCCCCCTCTCACCTGTCCATCTCCTCATTTGAATTCTGTCACTTGTCCACTCAAGCTTAACATTATTGTCATCTATTGCCCACCAGGTGCCCTTGGAGAGTTCCTCAATGAGCTTGACACCTTGATAAACTCATTTCCTGACAATGGCTCACCGCTCTTCGTACTTGGCAACTTCAACCTCCCGACTTCTGCCTTCGATTAATTTATTTCCAACTCTCTTTCCCCTCGCCTCTTTTGACCCCTTTCCCAATCCCCTCCAACTCACAAGGCAGGCAATACGCTTGACCTCATCTTTACTAGAGGCTGCTCGCCTACTAATCTCACTGCAACCCCCCTCCATGTCTCAGATCATTACTTTGTTCCCTTTTCTGTCTCCCTTTCCTCCAACCCTACCCACTCAGCCCCTACCCAGATGGTCAAAAACGATAGACCTGTATCCCTTCTTTATTTTCTTTCCAGAACACTTGAGCGTGCTGTCTCTGATCAACTTTCTCGTCATCTCTCTCAGAATGATCTTCTTGACCCTAACCAGTCAGGCTTCAAGACGGGTCACTCAACCGAGACTGCTCTTCTCTGTGTCACAGAGGCTCTCCGCACTGCCAAAGCTGACTCTCTCTCCTCTGTTCTCAGCCTCCTAGATCTATCCGCTGCCTTCGACAACGTCAACCATCAGATCGTCTCTGGCTCTGCACACTTTTGGATTGCATCCTACCTGGCAGGCCGCTCCTACCAGGTGACGTGGAGAGGATCTGTGTCTGCACCACGTACTCTCACTACTAGTGTCCACCAGGGCTCGGTTCTAGGCCCTCTTCTCTCTGTACACCAAGTCACTCGGCTCTGTCATATTTTCACATAGTCTCTCCTATCATTGCTATGTGAATGACACTCAACTACTTTTCTCCTTCCCCCTTCTGACACCCAGGTGGCGACACGTATCTCTGCGTGCCTGGCAGACAAGATGGCGTAGTAGTGCAGTCCTGTTCTTGTCGTGTGACTGTAAATACCCAGTTTTTTTGTATTTTTCGTACATATTTTCCTATCAGACTTCATCCTTCTACAAAATATACTTTCCTGTAACCCGCCTCACTCAATGTGGAACGGATTCTATTATTGACTTACCTTTTATCTAGAATCTCCAGTTGAAACTAGCTAGCCAGCTAACTAGCTACTTGCTATTAGCCACAGTTAGCGGTATTTCACCCAGAACATTGGATTTTTCTGCCGGAATAATTTAATCACTGGACATTAATCACCGGATCGCAACTAGCTATCCGCAACCGAATGGATGTTGCTGTTTGGCTAATCACCACTGCCCCCGATGCAAGCACCAGTTAGCCTAGAGCCAGGCTCATATCCCGGCTATCTACCTCTAGGTCTACCGGACGGGAGTAGCCAGCTAACTAGCTACTTGCTATCAGCTACCGTTAGCGGTTTTTCACCATTGTCCGTGGCCTGCACCACCTACCAGCCAGCTCTAGTCTGGACTATTATTCGGCCAGTCTGCACTGTCTGCACAGCGCGTTATCGATCCAGAACATATCAGTTTTTCTGCCGGAATCACTGGACCTTTAACTCCGGATTCATCGTTACCAGCTAGCTGCAACAAAATGGACGTTGTGGTCTGGCTAATCATCCTGAGCTAGGCCCATCTCCCATCTCCCATCTCCCGGCTATCTACCTCTCTGTCAACCGGACGGGACCACCTAGTGTTGACACGGAGCCCCGCCGATCCTACACGACTGGTCTGCCGACGAAATCGTCTGATGTGGTTACAACAGGCTTCCCGTTACGACGTCGACCACGAAGATTCCATCTGCTAGCCCCGGCCCGCTAGCACACGCTAGCCGTGGCCTCTTGCTCGCTAGTGCTTTAGCAGCCCCCGAACTACCTCCGAACTATCCTATTGCTGTTCACCGGACCTTATGAAAACTCAGCTATACAGCTGATGTCTGCTGGACTGTTCCTTTTTACGGTACTGCATCCTGTTTTATGTTTAGCCTCAGCCCAAACTGTGTCGTCATTACAAGCTGTTGTCTTAGCTCTCTCAAATTACACCTGTGATTGCTTTATGCGCCTCTCCCTTGTCAATATGGTTAGCTTATTGTTGTTTCGGTTATTTCTTATTGTACTATTTCACTGTAGATCCCCCAGCCCAGCTAAACCTGCCTTAGATAGCTCCTTTGTCCCACCCCCCATACACGCGGAGACCGACTCAATTGGTGCCTCCAGTGATGCTATCTCTTTCTTTGTTACCCAACGCTTAGGTTTACCTCCACTTTACTCATATCCTTCCATATCCTTGTCTGTACATAATGCCCTGAATCTTTTCTACAATGCCCGGAAATCTGCCCCCTTTATTCGATGTACCCAATGCACTAGAAGACCAGTTCTTAAAGCCTTTAGCCGTATCCTTATTCTAGTCCTCCTCTGTTCCTCCGGTGATGTAGAGGCTAACCCAGGCCCTGCAGCCCTCAGTATCACTCCTACTCCCCAGGCGCTATCATTTGCTGACTTCTGTAATCGCAAAAGCCTTGGTTTCTTGCATGTAAATATCAGAAGTCTACTTCCTAAGTTTGAGTTATTCACTGCGTT